ACTCGTGTAACAAAAACCAGTGAAACATTTAGACATAATAACAAAAAAATATATTATATTATGATAACAATATAATAAAACTTTTAATATCATATATCTTCTTATACTTTCAACTACATAACTGAAATATTTATATAATATAACTTTATGTATTTAAAGATTTTTCTAATAAGGATAAAAATCGCTCTCGCTGAGCATAATTGTTTTCATGATGTCGTTGTTTTTGTTCAATTAATTGTTCAACCCAAGATGGTATTTGGGATTTTCTTTTTCTACTTATTCGCTTCTGTGCTAAGTTAGTTGATCCGAAATGTAATAAATTTTATGCGTTTTCTTCATTATAGTTATTACAATTTGTTTCTATATTTATACTGTCAGATGTATTTAAAGTATTATTCAGTTTAAAACCTCGTGAACTTGATGCTAGAGATAACGGTGCAATTTCTGGTTTTTTAATTAACATGTCGTTAATAATATTATAATATTCCCATGTTTCTTTTGCTGCGCCTGTTTTATTATTTGCATCTTTTATATTTTTATATTTGTTTTTCATTCCAATCCATTTCACGTGACAATTTTCCGCCGACAAATTGTAACCATGAGTATTCATGGATGCAGCAATGTTTTTCCACACTTGCTTATTTACTGGACTCGTAAAAGATTCTACATGCTTATTTATTTCAGTTAACAGCAATTTCACCATCGCATCAGTCCACTGAGTTCTGTAATTTACTAAATAATATAATACAATAATTATTTACTGCTTGAGAGAATTTTGAATAATATTTATATATAATTATGTTAATTAAGGAATTATTATTATATACATACCAGCATCATGCACTTCATTTAATGATTGAGCCATTCTGTAGCACTATAGACCAAGCCAAATCTGTGGAACTTTAATAAATGTGTTGTAGATTAGAATAATTGAATTTCTTATTTCGGATATTCCACAAATACATGATATTTTCTCATAACTTTTTATAACTTCAATTTAATATTTATAATTTTCCTAAAATTTAATAATTAATTGATTTTTAATGTAATTGTTTCACATTTTACACAATTTTATTACCTGATAATGTTGACTCGTTCGAACGCTATTTACTAGGGTGTATATCAGTTGGACACGGGGCAATTGGACACAGTCCAATCACAAGTCGCTGTTCCAAGGGACCCTACAAATGTCTCTAATCATACGGTGCTGTGATTGGCTGTGTCCAAATGCACCGTGTCCAAGTGCACCGCTCCCGTTTCTTTTGCTGCGCCTGTATTATTATTTGCATCTTTTATATTTTTATATTTGTTTTTCATTCCAATCCATTTCACGTGACAATTTTCCGCCGACAAATTGTAACCATGAGTATTCATGGATGCAGCAATGTTTTTCCACACTTGCTTATTTACTGGACTCGTAAAAGATTCTACATGCTTATTTATTTCAGTTAACAGCAATTTCACCATCGCATCAGTCCACTGAGTTCTGTAATTTACTAAATAATATAATACAATAATTATTTACTGCTTGAGAGAATTTTGAATAATATTTATATATAATTATGTTAATTAAGGAATTATTATTATATACATACCAACATCATGCACTTCATTTAATGATTGAGCCATTCTGTAGCACTATAGACCAAGCCAAATCTGTGGAACTTTAATAAATGTGTTGTAGATTAGAATAATTGAATTTCTTATTTCGGATATTCCACAAATACATGATATTTTCTCATAACTTTTTATAACTTCAATTTAATATTTATAATTTTCCTAAAATTTAATAATTAATTGATTTTTAATGTAATTGTTTCACATTTTACACAATTTTATTACCTGATAATGTTGACTCGTTCGAACGCTATTTACTAGGTTAACTAACTCTACTCGCCTTACCGGACAGCATTGAGTTGTCATAAATCATGAAGATATTAGGTGGTCGTGCCTATCATATTTTTCGGTTCTGATGGAACTAACTCATACTCGATTTACCGTAAACACCCTATATAACCAATGTATAATACGTTAAATATAAAGATGCGATTTTACGCAGCAAATAAAAGCTGGCGTTTTACCCCACTCCATCGTTGTTCAATGCAGCGTTTAAAAGGGGTGTATATCAGTTGGACACGGGGCAATTAAACACAGTCCAATCACAAGTCGCTGTTCCAAGGGACCCTACAAATGTCTCTAATCATACGGTGCTGTGATTGGCTGTGTCCAAATGCACCGTGGCCAAGTGCACCGCTCCCGTTTAAAAGCTGTTCGCTATCACCTGTATCCTTTTCATGGAGCGAATAAAAGCTAGTGTTTTATCCCCACTTCAGCATAGTTCAAAACAGCGTTATAACGCTGTTCGCTGTCGCCCATATCCTATTCACCACGTTTAACCTCCTGTATAAACTAAGTATAAAAATGCAATAAGTATAAAAATGGAGTGTTATAATCAAGATATGGAGTATATAAAATATTATAGATGTACAGTGGCGATTATAGGTGAAGTTCGAAGACGATATATAGCTGCTGTAGTTGCAGCGATGTATTTGTTAAAAAAGAAAAAATACATAAGACGAAAAAATTAATTAATTTAATATAAATAAATAAGATACAAAGAGTAGCCTATAGGTTATAACCTATATAAATATGC